TGGCGTGGGCGGTTACGCAGGCGACACGCGGCAGGCCGTGGTGTCGTCTGAGCAGGTGAGCACGCCGAACAGGAAGCACCACCCGCGAAAGTTCCTGAAGAATTACTTTTTCCTCAAAAACCTGAACGCATTGCCCTTAACGCCGGAACGACAAAAAACGCAGCAGACGTCAGCGCCTTTCCGCCGATTGACGGAGCGCGAGGCCGCCACAGCACCACCGCCGCCCACCAGTGGCGGTGCAGAGCAGTCAGCGCCGCGGTTTGTGCGGTCGCGCTGCTTTGATGAGGTGGCACCCAACTCCTTGTTTTTTGTTGACATACCGCCGGAAAAAACGAAGTGCGATCGCAATCAGGAGGAGAACCGCGGCCTCAGCACACAGCCGGCAGCTGTACGCGTGGTGACGCGTCGCGAGGCTGTGCTGCGGGCGCCGGGCGAGCCGCTGCATCCGCCGGCAAAGAAGCTGGTGGGGAGGGAGTTAGAGGCGCCGCCCGACGCCAACGAGGAAGGGGAAGAGACTGGCGGTGACTCCGCCGGCGTGTCGACAGAGGTCCATAAGCAGACAGGGGAGCAGGCAAACTGCTCCCGCACAGAGTCCTCAATGGAATCATCGTCGTGCCACTCAGAGACGGTGGATATCAGCGCTATCTCCCCCATCCATGAAGACGACGTTATTATCAACGTGGACGGATTTGTGCCGTCTCCCCCTCCACTGACCCTCCTGCCGCCAATGGATGTGGATGCAGACGCTGTCCAGGGGGAGAAGCTGCTTGCGATAATGGAGCCCTGCAATGATGCTGTGTCTCTTCTACAGAAGCACCTGAGCACAATGGAAAGTGAAAACATGGCAGGAGGACAAGCAGGGATTTCGCAATGTCTAACCTCCTTCGCTGTGAGCCACTGCCGCTCTACGAATGATTCAGGCTACATCTTTGAGCAGTTCTTCATGCGTTGCTATGAAGAAGTCTTCCAGGCACATCTTGCAGTGGTGCTGGACGAGGTCTTCACTGCCATGTACACGCAGATGGTGGCGATCCCAGCTCTTAAAATGATCACCTTGCACGGACGTCGCATCATATGTATGCAGCGTGACTTGCATATTCGCAGCCTGATTGAGCTGTTTATCATGACTTCACCCAAGGGTGGGAAGGCTGGCCGCAAACAAAACCGTCCTCACACCCCGCCGAAGAAAAATAGGAGATTGGTGCCGTGGCAATCAGAAATCGGACGGCAACGCCGGTCCTCACGTAACTATGCCTCGGAAGAAGCACCAGACGGACGTCTGAACGTTAATAACAAGATTGGCGGTAGCAACAGTGGGGGACGCGGAAATGGCCAAAACGACACGACAGTCGCTGGGGCTCAATTGTCATCCCCAAGCCCCTCGCTCACTCGTAGACTTCGTACGTACGAAATAGTCAAGCCGGTGGCACGCAGACGCTCACCGAAGAAGCCGCCGACGGACGAAGAACTAATGGACCTCGAGCGCCTCGCCTGCCCGAACCAAAGATAGATTTTTTTTGTTTGTTTTCCCCCACCTTGCAGCAGAGGCGGAAGTAGGCAAGTCTCTTCCAATTGACTTGTTCGTGTTTTTTTTTGTTGNTGTTGTTTTACCGGAGAAAAAATCAGTTGACAATGCGTGGATAATGCAATATTCGAGTAGAAATGGGATTTCTTCACAAGACAGAGTCTTTTTCCGTGGTCACTTCATCTAATATTATTAGATGCTCCTATTCCTTTCACGTTTCAGGTGTTGTTTATCAATCCTCTCTTAGATGCTATCACTTGAGGATCATGCTCAACTACTGCAATGTCGTGCGTCACCGTGTGGGGCGCGTAGCAGATGCGCCTCTGTGTGTCTTGAGCAGTATGCGTGTTAAATGGCGCTGCCTACCCCGCAGGTCGTTTCAACTCTCCCAATATTACACGAAGAATATTCACGTTTTTTTTTTTTT